CTCCTGGATTGTTCATATTTTGCTTATTGACATATGAGATTCTTTGGATGTTAAGATATTAGCACTTTGCCTGTCATACTGTTACTATATTTTTCCAGTTTTTTTTTTTTTGCGGTACGCGGGCCTCTCACTCTTGTGGCCTCTCCCGTTGCGGAGCACAGGCTCTGGACGTGCAGGCTCAGCGGCCATGGCTCATGGGCCCAGCCGCTCCGCGGCATGTGGGATCTTCCCGGACCGGGGCACGAATGCATATCCCCTGCATCGGCAGGCGGACTCTCAACCACTGCGCCACCAGGGAAGCCCTTCCAGTTTGTTTTTATCTTTTCTTTTTGTTGTGGATTTTAAAAATGCAATAAAAATTTATCAATATTCTAAATTTTTTTGTAGTCAAATGTATCGATCTTTATGGCTTCTGGGTTTTATGTCTTATGTAGAAATGCATTCCACATCCAAAATGTATAAAATGATTCACCTATGTCTTCTGGCGTATTTGTTTTCCTTTATTACATTATTTACATCTTCGATCTATGTGGGATTTACTTTGGTGTAAGAAGTTGGTCAGCACTTTCCTTTTTATCCACAAATGGCTGGTGTGTTGTTCCAATCTCTCTCTTTCTCTCTTTTAAATAATCCACCTTTACTACATTAATTAGAAATAATGAATTTTTTTGTAAGTACATGGACCTGGACACAGGTTCTCTATTATTGGGCTGGCCAAAAAATTCTGGTTTTTCTGTAACATCTTACAAAAAAACCCGAAAGAATGTTTTGGCCAACCAAATATATTCCATTGATTGTTCTGTCACAAAATAAAAGAAAAAGAAGAAAATATAACTAAGGATATCTGTAATTTTGTCACTTATAAATGTATAATGATAGTAATTTATATTGCCACTAAAAATGTGAATAGGGCTTCCCTGGTGGCGCAGTGATTGAGAGTCCGCCTGCCGATGCAGGGGACACGGGTTCGTGCACCGGTCCGGGAAGATTCCACATGCCGCGGAGCGGCTGGGCCCGTGAGCCATGGCCGCTGAGCCTGCGCGTCCAGAGCCTGTGCTCCGCAACGAGAGAGGCCACAACAGTGAGAGGCCCGCGTACCGAAAAAAAAAAAAAAGAGTAAAATTTTAAAATCCCTTATGTAGTTAGTTTCTTCTCATTATTTTTCTTCTCTAGAGTCATTCAGGCTCTTCTTGAACATGTATTTTTCCATATAGTATCTGGAATAACAGCATATGTATATATGTACATGATGTGGAAGGCTACACATCAATTAATAAATGTGATTATTTCAGAGGAGTGGGATTGGCGAGCAAAGTCTTTTACTTGTTACACTGTATACGTCTATGTTTCTTGAATTTTGGGGAAGAGGCACGTATTATTTTAGCAATAAAGCATCAATAAAGATTTAAAGAAATGACTCAACATATGAAAATATTGTAATCAAAGACCTTAATGAAGTCTTTGTGCCTTTTAGTGTATTTTTAAAATTTGATCCGCTTGTGTTTTCAAGGTGTGCAATCATTTCATCTGCCAGTAATGATCATTTGGTTTCCTCCTGTTTAATATTTATGCTTCTTACTTTTCTCCTTGTCTGCTTGCATTTCCTAGATTTCTAGGCCAATGTTAAATGTGATGGCAATGGAATTTCTTTTGTGTTATCTGTAAATTTAATGGAGTATAACCTTTAATACTTCATCATTGAGCATGATTCTGGTTTATGTTCTATTCTTATTTTACTAAAGCTTTTTATTTAAAAAAAAATCCTAAGCACCACTCAAATCTACGTTGGCAACTTCATACTACGATTCTCAAAGTTTATTAATATGCAAAAAAGGGATTTTACAGTGAAGTGTATTCATCAGTATCCTGCTGAAGCATTTATTGAAACTCTAATTAAACTATTTCATAGGATATAAAAGCAATATTTCATTGTTATCAGTGAATAGCAGTGTCTTTAGCTTCATATTAAAATGTTTTCTGATTATTTTGCATTTTGTCTAATGACTCGTGCAGTTTGCACTTTGCAGCAACTAATTTGTTATAAAAAAGGAAAAAGTCCTTCTCAGTCTCTGCAAGTTCTTTTCTCCTCCTTGATGAGAGATCTTCACCCAGAGTAGAAAGGAATTCGCCCTCATGATTTATGGTTGAGGGATCCACCAGATGAACTCAAGTGTTAAGCACTGAAACTTTATTTTTCAAATCTCAGGGGCTTTGTGTGTTGTTTGCTTCACAGCTGGTTTTCACTAGTGTCCTGAGCAGTGTTAACATATCCCTCGGACCCACCAGGTTTTACATAACACACTTTGTTTGTCTGAACAGCTGCCTCATTGCAAGCTGTACACAAATTCCATACAAATGCCACAAGCTATTAAAATTCAGAAGCTGGGTTAGCCTTCAAATGTGGATCTAAAATATACTAAATAAATGAACAAACAGAATTAAATGCAGGTACTCATGAAAGAAAGGAAGCTTTGGAAAATTCTTCCCCACACCACCTCGCCCTATTGTTTCTCCACTTCTGTGGTTATGGTGGTTAAGAGTGCAGCTGTGGAGGTAACTGTGGATGGAGGAGGCAACTGACACCTTGCACGTGGCTGCCCAGATGAGCTATTCTCTCAGGGATGCTGTGCCTGCCTCTGCCTGAACCTGGCATTCTTCTATCTCGAATGGCAATGAGGAATTATCTTGACTAATAAAATGTCATTCACTAATATATTGATTCATTCATTCTATGTTTTGAAATTATTTATTTATTTATACCATGTTTATTGGAGTATAATTGCTTTCCTTCTAGATTTTACGTGCTGTGTTTAGCAGCAGACATAAACCCCAATAAGTTATAATCCTCTCCGCCAGAGTGCTCAGAAGCTCATAGGGACATCAGACAAATTAGACAATTCCAAATCAGTGTGGTGACAATAGGGGTAAGTACACACATGAAAGTTATTATGCCACACCCCTGATTAAAATCCTGTGAAGCACCCTCCTCCGCCACAGACTAAATCAAAATTTCTTAGGCTGGCGTGTCAAATGCCACTGGCCCCACCAATTCTGCCAAGTGTCATCTCAGCCAGGGATGCTAAGCTGAGTAGATGCCCATAGACAGCTTCCACTGAAGCACCTGCTGAGTGAACCTGCACACTCCATTCTCTCTCTGAGATACACTGACACCTACATCGGGATTTGGCGGCTGGCAGGTTTATCTCTAGTGCCCAGCAAGTAAGGTAGAAACTCACCCAGGTCGGTTGTGTGTGTTCCCAAACTCATTTAGTCCAGTCGGACTTGTTACTGTAATTACATGATGCAAGCTGGCAAAAATGTGAGTGTGCAAAGGAAGACTGCTGTTGATCTAGGAGCACTGCTGAAATGGTTTGAAGGGACTTGATAAAGGCATATTGAGAGAATATTGCTAGCAAACAGGGTGGGAAAAATGATGGTAAGAGACTGGAGTGGGGAGATAAAGCTAGGCATCTACACTTAGATATCTTCTAAAGTGTTTGAAAGTTCTTTTCCATCTTAAAGAAAGCAAAACTAGAAGGAGTAGATGAAGTGTTCCTGGTGTGTATTACTTAAGAAAGACAACATGGAACTACAATCAATGACCCCAGAGGAACAGCCTTGGCCTTGTAATAAAAGAGAGATGAATGGGCATCCACTCATATGTTTTAAATTCAAATAAGTTGTTCAAGGTAGATACATATTGTTTCTTGATCAAAGTGTCCTGTGTCTGACTCTCAGAAGTAACCACCAACACCCTACTGTTCCCAACTGAGACAGATAAGAAGACATTACCTACTGTATCTGTAACTCCCCAGATGGTCCAGGCTCTCTCTAAGCTCCATCACTTTGAACATGCTGTTTCCTCTGCCGGGAAATGCCCTCTCTCTACTCCAGGCTCTGTTAGCTGGCACTCTCCTATTTACTCTGCACTTCCTTCACGCCACCTCTTCTTCGTGCTTCCTTCCTAATGCGTCCTTGGCTGTCCTTGTTTTCCTCACCCAGCAGTAGAAGGTCCTTCCTACATTTGAGGAAATCCTGGCTCTGTGAAGCAGAGCCTGCCTCTCACTGCAGAAGATGCAAATGCCAGCTATTCTCTGCCCCGACTCCCGCTGCTGGCGCCCAGACACAGGACGAGGCATAGCTGCTTTCAGCCACAGGCTCCTGCTCTGCCTTTAAACCAGAGCCGGTGATGTGCAGCTCTGGGACGCTGCTGTCGAGTCTGCTCTGGAGCGGGTGGTGGCAGTGAAGGGCTGTTTCCCATTTCTGGAGGTGCCAGTGGTTGAGATGCGGGATGGCTCTGTGGCCTCCGTGTGTTTGGTTTTTTGGCCCTCCCAGGTATTCTGGGAGCTCCCTGATAGCCTTTCATAAATTCCTTTCCTGCTCAAATTAGCTAAAGCTGTTTCCTATTTGCCTAAAGCTAAGATTCATGGCTGATATTTTGGCTCATCACCCCCATATGACATTGTCGACTGTTCCAATGTGTCTTTGTCCCCGTGTGATTGCGAGCGACATCCCATTGTGGGACTCGAGGGACATTGTTCCAGCTAATGATTAAGAACTCTCCAGACAATAGGGGCTTCTTAGATAATGGGTGAATTTCCAGGATGTCCGGCCCCCTTCCGAGAAGGAGGGAGATAACAAAATGTAAAAAAGGTGTCTGTCAAAGACCAATCAGGCAGCTGGGGAGAAGGAGGGAGATAACAAAATGTAAAAAAGGTGTCTGTCAAAGAC